TTTGTGAAAGGAGAACGATAAGAGGAAGGAAATACAGGGGTCATATTATCATAAGTATCTTTGTGAATGGCATGTCAAACTTATCGATCTTTATATAGCATGCTTGCACTTTCTTGAGAGATTATAGCTGTCTTTTTGGCTGATTCATTTGTTGCTTTAATACTTGCTTTCCTGTAATTAAGTCTATAAAGTGACCGTGTGATTGTATAACAATGTGTTCTGTTTAAAAAATAATATGAAGTGCGTGTCCTTTTCCAGTTTAGCTAAAAAGGGTTCAAGATTGTCCATTTATATTTTGGTGAATCTTGGCATCTGCCCTTTATTTCATTATTGGTCTTTACGATTTCATTATGTGTGTGCTATTTTTTTTACACATCGCGGCACTAGTATGGGCTGCTTCTCATTTTCTTTAGATGTTGTTATTGTGCTGAAATATCCTCCTGAAGAATAATTAAACGGAGAGGCATCACGAAATTTGCAGCCATACTTTGTGATATTCTAGCAAAGTATTTTATCTTCTATTCATTGTTTAAGACTTCTTTACTGAAATAAAAATAAAAATTTGCTTGTAAATTGCTTTTTATGCTTGTATTAATGATATCGGCAATAACAATTGCTTGGATTTATTAATTCTTTTACCTTCAGTTTGGCAGCTGTAATTAAATGAGGAAATAACAAGTTACTTTCATTTATTAACTCTTGAACCTTCAGTTTGACAGCTGTTAGTTCACTTCTTGAGAAATACGGGATCGATCCAAAACAGATTGGTCGCCTAGAAGTTGGAAGTGAGACTGTACTAGACAAGAGCAAATCTATCAAGACATTCTTGATGCCAATCTTTGAGGTATTTAAGTATGTTATCTGTGATTTTTAATTATTGGCACTTAGTAGTTAGTACATGCTGGTGCTCTGTGTTGGAATGAGTCACTGGAATACAATCTCTATTGTTGAGCTGATAGTCTATCTGAGTTTACTTATATGGGTGCTTAAATATTATCTGTAAATTATTCGGCTTCTCTTTTGAAAGCAAAAAATCACAATGGTTAGTGAAAGGGTTAAGTAATGGTAATTTCCATGAGAAAGCTTGCTTACATCATTTCAATTACTGTTTCATGTATAAATTTTCTCTACTATGTGCTTCATCAAAATGAAAGAAGAGTTTGGTCAGACATGCTACAGACCTCCAAGTATGTGTGCTCAAATGGGTGTAACATTTCTGGGTTAAATAATGTCACTGTCACCATTGGCGGCTTTTGCATATTAGAGTAAAAATGTATATCTCTCATTTATTCATCTGTTTGTTCTCCTTGTGAACAACCAGAAAAGTGGAAATACTGACATAGAAGGTGTTGACTCAACCAATGCATGCTATGGGGGAACTGCGGCTCTCTTCAACTGTGTCAATTGGGTGGAAAGTAGTTCATGGGATGGGCGATATGGGCTCGTTGTCTGCACAGACAGTGCGGTATGACCATCATCTTTATGCATTTTTTCGTATCCTTGATTTGAATTTACTTAGAGGAATGCGAGCAGACAAGCTTTCTCACTTCCAAATGGCCACAAAACTATATTTTATAATTTGCACTTATCTCCATAATTTGCAATTTTCCTGTACTACATAAGTTGGATCTTTTTTATATTTTCAATTAAGGGTAATTCATAGTGTAACTTCCCCCCTGCTGGAATGTATTTATTTTATTGTACATCCATAAGCAAGTGTTGATTTGATTTCAGTAGCACACTTCAAATGTGCTTATGGGTGATTGACTTACCAGTAAGCCTTTTTTTAACAGGTCTATGCAGAGGGACCAGCCAGGCCAACTGGAGGAGCTGCAGCTATTGCCATGCTAATAGGACCTAATGCTCCTATTGTGTTCGAAAGCAAGTTCAGGGGTAGTCATATGGTTCATGCTTACGATTTTTACAAGCCTAATCTTGCCAACGAATATCCAGTAATTCTCATTTTTAACACGCCTACTAATTTCAATATTATAATTTTGACGAATATGTAAGAATCTTGCGGTTTTTTTTGTGCATATGCTCAATGTCACTGCTAATAAAAACAAACAAAACATGTGATTGATATTTTGGACATTATGCACTGCTACTTCAAATTTGCTCCATTATACTCTGTTCAGTTCTGATATGGTTAAGACTGTGTTTGTTTATAGGTTGTCGATGGAA